GATGTTCTGCATCTGCGGCACCATTGCCGCTTCTGCGGTACCGCATATGCGGTCTATCCTCCGCTTCTGCGGAAATCACTAAGCGGACCAATTCCACATCTGCGATCCAATCTACGCACCTGCGACTCCGCGGGTGCGGTCCAATTACCGCATCTGCGGTTCCTGCCTCTTCGTCTCAAATCCGCTTCTGCGGCTCCCTTTCCACACGTGCGGCGCTGCACCTGCGGTCCTCAAACCGCAGGTGCGAAAACACCAAAAGCAGCAAAGTTCAGCAGCTACAATAACATCTCAACTTCTCCGTTACCCACCCGAAATCACCCCGAGGCCCCCGGGACCTCAACCAAAAGCACAAACATATTCCAATACCTTATTCAAACTTGTTCCAATCACCAAAACACCTCAAACAACATTAAATCACCCAAAACACATCGGATTCAAGCCTAAGTTTCAAAAATCATCCGAATTTCGCTTTTGATCAAAAACCCAACCAAACCACGTCCGAATAACCTAAAATTTTACACACACATCCCAAATGACACGACAGAGCTACTGCAACTCTCGAAATTCCATTCCAACCTCTATATCAAAATCTCGCCTACCAATCGGAAATTACCAAAATATCAACTTCGCCAATTCAAGCCTAAATCTACTCCAAACCTCCAAAACCCATTTTGATCATACTACTAAGTCATAAATCACCTCCTGAAGCTAATTGAACCATCAAAACTCACATTCGAGGCCTCTAACTCATAAGTCAACATCCGGTTGACTTTTCCAACTTAAACTTCCTTAAAAGAGACTTAGTGTCTCAAACCCTACCATAATCATTCTGGACTCGATCCGACCAACCCGATATTACAAAATACGGATAAAGAAGCATAAAGAAGCAAAAAAAGGAAAAACGGAGCGGTAACCCATGAGACTACTGGTCGGGTCGTCACACACCTAAGTTCATATGACTACTTAGTCATATGTCTTAATAATGGCCTACTGCCACGTGGGGGGTAGGGTGCGGATTTTAAATCTTTATCCACTAAATTATTAATTAATTAGATAATATCTCACTACATGATAATTAACTAATTATCTACATAATTAAGAATTATCTCAAATTACTTAAATTACTACTCATTTTTAATACACTTTACGTACCTTACTATCGTAGTCATGGTGTACCTTGTATGACAATAGTCCATAAATATCGGGTATTATGGCTTGGATCGTATTTTATCCCAAATCGACAACTTTTAACGAAACTTATTTTCTTTGATTTGTTTACCCTTTATACTGCACGACACTTACTTTCACTATAGCATGAATGTGTGTAACCTCAAGGTAATCTTATCCCCGAGTCTACGTTGATTAACTGAAGACGAAACTTTAACGTACGAAAACACGAGATGTAATAATATTGCCTCCCTGGTCTGAGATAAATTGGTAAATGATGAAATACATATTTGGAAATATCTTATTATCAAAAGGATTTTCCCTGAGCTTACAGCCATTCTTAATAAAACCCATGATTGATTATATTATCAGTTTATTATCATTGGATCATTAGTAAGTGTCGGAGTCGATCTCTCGTTACTACTTCTTCGAGATTAGACTGGATACTTACTGGGTACATGTTGTTTGCGTACTCATACTACACTTGTTGTACATTTTATTGTACAGGCACATGTATGCCTAGTGGCCTTGTGGGCGCGTCGGTATGATGGATATGAGGACTTAGTTGAGCTGCATCTTATGCTACGATCCGCAGCCAGTAGAGTCTCCTTCAGAGTATTTATATTTTTCTTTTCTGTCCAAATTTGTATTCCAGACATATGCTGTATTTTATTTATTTTTTCTAGTTGTTGCTCATGCACTTTTGACACCGGGTTCTGGAATGATTATGGATTATTCATTGATGACATAGTTAAAATATTATTACTTATTCTGAAATCTCATCTTGTACTGTTAAATTGGAGAAAAATCATGGTTTAAAAAAAATACTAAAACTAGAACTAAATTAAGTATTTATGGTTGGCTTGCCTGACAGCGGTGTCCGGCGCCATCACGACCTTTATTGTATTTTGGGTCGTGACAAATATCTGCTCCGCATATTTGACTCGGTCTTCCATATAGCTTCCTGGTTCGCTTATCTTTTCCAAAGAACCTTCACCGAAGCGATCTCCTTTGACCTAAACTTTTGAACCTGCTTGTTGAAAACAACTATCGGTTCTTCTTTATATGCCAAGTTCTCATCTAGATGCACTATTCTGAAGTCCAAAATATGCGACTTATCTTCATATTACCTTCGAAGCATACAAACATGAAATACCGGATGTGCCCTTGATAGGATAGGAGGCAAATCAAGCCTATAAGCAACCTTACTATATATCTCTAACACCTTAAATGGTCCAATAAATCTCGAACTCAACTTGTCCTTCTTCCTAAATCTCATCACGTCTTTCATAGCTAGGTACCTATTATATGCTATCCGAAGTTATCTTTTAATCAACTACCCCTTTTCCACAATATCACGTACCAAATTCGTACCCAACAACCTGGGGAATATAAATCCCTATTGAATCATTAGGATAAAACAACTAACTGAAAGGTATAACGTGACATATTTACAATTTTGCTTGGCAATATAAATAAATACCAAAAGCTATTTCTGCTTTTCTACTTTTTCTTTATGTATTCTGACTTCTCTGAAACCAATAGTTAAATAAAAAGTATTTCTCTTCTTTCTATTGATATATTTAGCTCTCTGTTTCCTTTCCAAGATCATTAAAGTATTATCACAAATAAATGATTACTATCTTTTTCCGACAATAAATATTATTTTTAACGCTAATGATAAATATTATTCGTAGAAATATTTGCCTATTTGTAGAAGAAAGTATTCATAAAATCAATTAATTATAGGAGCTAGTCGAAAAAAGGTATATTTTTCAAATTGTATTTTATTTATATTAATGAAAATAGGTAAAAAAAAATTCTTGTTAAAAAAATTAATAAGAGAGGTAAGCGTAATATCATATACCATAGGGAAGGTCAATGCGAAGAGCGAAAAATAAGGGTATATCTGAAATTATCTCTACAATTTAATAACCAAGCTTTCAAATAAATATTTATCCATTGAAAACTTAAGAATAGTAAATAGTTTGGTGTGAAATGAAATATAGAGGCAAAATTGATCTTGTAGATAAATATTTATTGATAAGAAACATAAAAATTACCGTAGATTTCCTTGAAAAAGAAACTTTCCTCCTACTTCTTATAATAGTTTGATTTGAGTATTCTGAATATTAGGACTTCTTACTTAATTCAAATTAGAAATGATTTACTAAGAAAGATTTTTATTTACTTTCAGATTTTTTAAATTTTAAAAAAATAATTTAATTTACAATTTTTTCCATGTGAATTTTGTTTTCAAGGGTAAAATAAGCGAATGACATTTCGCTAAAGACCTTCGTGCTTATTTTTTTTTTTAATTTTATATATTACTGTGATCCTTTCTATAATTTTTACGTCATTTGACAATAATTATGAATAGAACCTTTTTATATATAAAGAGAAAACAATAATTATAATTTTCTCCCCTTTTAATCATCACGTTTTAAATATCTATATACTTACATTAAGTGGCTGGCAAAAACTTTTGGGTAAAAACTATGAAGCACTTATGACTTTAAAATTTTGAATTTGTCACTGTGCATATTACAATCAGACCTATCTATAACAATATTCCTATATAACAGCTATTCACTATAAAAGCCTAGTTTTACTCATAATCGATTTTTTATGTTATATTTTGCATCTTTTCTGCCTATAACAGCAACAACCATCGTTATGACAGTATGCTATTTGTAAAATTACCCCTCTATAACAACCATGCAGATTTTCTAAGATTATTACTAATAATAATTCAAAATATTTAAGCAAATATTTTATAACTTTAATGTACAACTTATAATAGCTATATATAGTATCTTAAGGATAGCAGTATGTTCAATGAACACATGCACGTCAAATATTTTTATAACTAAATATCTACAAATGATATATTTTGCATTAGAAAAATGTCAATAGATACTTAAAAGATCTATTTATCCTTTTTGAAGATATGCATATCATTCTTTTTTTATTTGAAGATGTACAAATGATATATCTTATATTGGACAATTACCAATAATATGTAAACGTAATCCATTCATATTTTTTTAATTGTGTTCCTTAGAGTTTAAATATGTGTGTGTTTAGTTAAGAATTTTTTAATAATGTATCTGATTTCTTTAACGGAAAAATGCATAAGTACCCCCTAACCTATACTCGGATTCCCAACTACACATTTTTTCTACGCGGGAATCCTATTACCCTCCCCCCTCCCCCCTAAACTTAATTTAAATGGAATTATTTGCACCCTTAAATTCGTGAAATATTTATATCTTTTGAGATTTTGAATTTAGATATTTTATTAATCTTTTATATATAATATTATAAAAGAAAAATTATTAGTTTTTGGATAATTTTTGTCTATAACAGCTAAAATATATTTAAATACCAAATGTTGTTATAGGTGTATAACATTCATTCACTATAAAAGTCAAAATGTTTTGGAACAAACGATGTTGTTATAGAGAGGTTTGACTATACTTCATTATTGTCATTTTATATGTATTAAACATATTCAATTCCGCATATTTGAGGTTATGAACGTGTAGCTAAACTTATTGTAATATTAAGAAACAAAAAAAAAAAGCATTGAACAATTAGTTAGATTGCGTATTTAAATATGACTTGTCTAGTTTCTAGTTAATTGGTAAAAAAGTCAAATGCACAAAAGTAGGAAAATCATTCGCTTATCACATGGCTTATGTAGTAAGTAAGTGGATAACTTTATCTGGATGTCCTTAATTTTCTGAAACTGTTTACTATTCATAGTTCCCCTAAATTAGGAAAGTAAGAGATACCCCAAAATAAAAAGCATAAAAACCCTTTTCCCACACTCAACACTTCACTTACTTATCTATTATAATTGCTAACAAGAGTTTTAAACTGCTATTTACTCTGACACAAAACCGGTAAACACTAACAATGCATAACAAAGATGTTTCAATGGTATGTTCTATCTAAACATGAATTTGTACCTAGTAGTTTTTTTTTTTTTTTAAATCATATTCTTATTCATGTAACTTTATTTTTTTATTCAAGGTTGAGAGTGGGAATAGTTCCAACAATGCAACGACAAACGAACCAGTCGATGACGATCTGAATAGGTGGTTGCCTATAACAGCTTCCCGAAAAGCCAAATGGTGGTATTCAACATTCCATAATGTAACAGCTGTTGTAGGAGCTGGTGTTCTTGGCTTACCATATGCTGTGTCACAACTCGGCTGGTAAATCCTATAATACTCCCTCCTCTGTTCACTTTTATTTGTCGTTTCGCTTTTCGAGAGTCAAATTACATAAATTCTTACTAATATTTTAATATATTTTTTTACTATATTGATATGAGACGAATTACAAATTATAGTACTTTTCGTATAGTTTCTGAATATTTAACTTAAAATATTAAGAAAATTCAATCCAACTGGACTTCAAAGATTAGTCGAACTGACTCTCGAAAAGTAAAACATGACGGAATTGTTTGGTAGGGTGCATAAGAATAATGCTGAATATGGTATATTAGTAATGCTGGTATTAATTATGCTTGCATTAGTTATGCTAGTATTAGTTATGCTGACATATTTCTTATCTATTGTTTGGTTTGATGTATTAAAGCATTGCACAATTTCTAAAAGAATTGTTTGTTTACAAAAATGCCCTCAAAACTAGTTCACACTCTAACTTTTTAAAAGAAATATATGTTGAGAAATATTTTTATATGAAAAAGTTTACAAAAAAATTATTTGATTTGTCTACTTATATTGTAAAATAAAATTAAATATTTATTTATAAAAAAGAAAATATGCTAAGTATTTATTTATTTACTAGGGATATAATTTTATTTCTCACTATTTGGATTATTTTGAACTTGTATTAATATACTAACTAGCATATTTTAATCAAACATAAATTTTGAAGGATAATTTTGTCTTTAACTAAGCTAATGCATGTATTAAAACTCATTGCATTGCTAATACCACTGTTTTCTATGCATTAGTTATGCATAGGATAATACCAAATAGGATGTATAGCTAATGCTTGCATAACTAATGCATAAGTTCAAAATGTGTATCAAATAATGTATTATTAGTACACAAAGCTAATACATGCATTATTTTATATAATGCATCCTACCAAACGACCCCGACAAGTAAAAGTGAACGAAAGGAGTACATCTCAGGTAAGTTATTCATTTGCGAAAAGCATTCTGACCCTTTTTTTGTTTGGTATTTTTAAATTAATATGCAGGATTCCAGGAATGGGGATGATAATAATTTCATGGTTTGTGACATTATACTCACTTTGGCAATTGGTTAATTTGCACGAACATGTTCCAGGGAAGAGATTTGACAGATATCCTGAGTTAGGAAAACATGTATTTGGCCTAAAGAGAGGTTATTGGATAGTAATGCCTCAACAGATGATTGTTCAAGTTGCCAGTGACATAGTATACATGGTTACAGGGGGAAAATCTCTAAAAGAAAGTATGCATACGATGTTCCATTGGTCTAAAGGGATTAATCAAACTTGCTTTATTTTGTTTTTTGGAGTTCTTCAGTTGATACTATCTCAAGCTCCTAATTTTAATTCCTTGAAAGTGGTCTCTTTCACAGCAGCTGTTATGTCTTTGAGGTACGTAAAGAATACAAAATGCAAAACATAATTTCTTTTTTTCTTACGTGTTGTTACATGTTGTATTGTATCGTATTGTTTGGATGTTTATGACAAGTTGTATTGTATCGTATTGTTTGGACGGTTGTCAAGTGTTGTATTGTATCGTATTGTTTTGATGGTTGTTACCTATTGTATTATATCGTATTGTTTGGATGATTGTTACCTGTTGTATTATATCGTATTGTTTGGATGGTTATTACATGTTGTATTGTGTTGTATTGTTTGGATGATTTTTACCTGTTGTATTGTATCGTATTGCTATTTTAAATATAATATTTATTTATTGATTATTACTTAAATTTTATTGTATCGTATCGTATCGTTAAATTTGTCGTTACGTAATGACGAAAAGTATCATTTTATGAAATGACCGATTTGGTGTGGTCACATCTTTTCTTTATTTTTTTTTCCTTTCATCTTGTTTTTTCATATTATTAAATAATCATATTTTATCCTTTATCCTATCTTTTTCATATAATAACTCTACCCCGTATATTACTTTTTCTTTATAATATTGCAAGTTTATTCTTAATATTGTTGGTGCATGACATCATGAAAACAATACAATCTATCCAAATATTGTATACATTAAAATGATACAATATTGTATAAAACGATACTTAACAACCATCCAAACAAGAACACAAAATGTAAAACACAAGTCTATTATTATGTTATTTTTATGACATATTGAATTCATTTTTGTGTTTATATATACATGCAGTTACTCAACAATTTCGTCAGTAGCATCAATTATCAAGGGTATTGAACATCCACAACCAGTTAACTATGGTCGACGATCTCATACTCCAGCTGGAATAACATTTGATATTTTCAACAGTTTAGGAACGATTGCATTTGCATTTGCTGGACATAGTGTTGCATTAGAAATTCAAGCAACAATACCTTCAACACCAGAAAAACCATCTAAAGGGCCAATGTGGCGAGGTGTTACTGTAGCTTATGCAATTGTTGCATTTTGCTATTTAGCTGTTGCTGCATCTGGATTCTGGGCTTTTGGCAATCTTGTGGATGATGATGTCCTTGTTACACTAAAACACCCACATTGGCTAATTGCTCTTGCAAATTTTATGGTATTTTTGCATGTTCTTGGAAGCTATCAGGTGATGATCTGAAACTGTATACTCTCTCCGTTTCAATTTAGATGATATAGTTTGACCTGGCACAAATAAATTTTTTTTTAAGTGAAAGTGATATTTGAAAATTAGAGTAAAAAAAAATGCGACACATTTTTAAATAGACTAATAAGGAAAGTGTGTTATTTAAATTGAAACAGATAAAATATATTATTATATATCTTGAATATTGGATCAAATGTTCTTTACCATTTTTTTTAATCTCAGGTTTTTGCAATGCCTGTTTTTGACATGATTGAGTGTTACTTGGTTAAAAAGCGTCATTTCACTCCTGGACGACCTCTTCGCCTTATTGCCCGGAGTATTTACGTTGGTAAATTGAATTAATCTTTCACTACTTGTAGGGAATTAATACTAACATAATAAAATGAACTAATCCTTGTTTATATACCAATTGTTAAACAGTTGTGACGATGTTCGTTGGAATGTGCTTTCCCTTTTTTGGAGGGCTGTTAGGCTTTTTTGGAGGATTGGCATTTTCATCCACATCATTTTTTGTACAATCTCTATATATCCTATCTTTCTTTAGAATTCGTACTAACCAATATATATATCCTTAATTGTGTATATTTATATTATATGGCAGCTCCCATGCATAATGTGGCTTGTCAGCCAAAAACCTAAAAGGTGGAGCTTTCATTGGATCGCTTCTTGGGTAAGTTTGTTGAGATATATAAGAGCTGTTTTATATTTAGCCTACGCCGGAAATTTTTTACGTTCGGTAACCGAAAAAGTGTATAAAATTTATATAATTTTTATATATAACATACAGAATTTATATATATATATATATATATATAAAATATATATTTTTCGGCACGCACTATATAATATACTAATATGTAAAGGAAACTTACGCCATTTAACTGTATAATACTTTACTTTTATTTCTTTGACTTTGTTTTCAGCTTGCAATTATTATTGGTGTGAGCATAACTGTCTTGGCACCAATTGGAGGAGCACGCACCATTATCATCTCAGCAAAGAATTACAAATTCTTCGATTAGATAGTTTTCTTATTTTCTATTACTTGCTAGGAATTTCTTTAGAATCATTTATTCTAGAGATTTTGTTTCACATCAAGCTAAATCAGTTCAATCTCAATGTGTTTCTCATTTTTATCAACATTAATTCTATACAGAAAGTGTTTCCTCTCATTTCTAGCTATTGATTACTCTATATTATTTGACCACTCACCAAACTATCGTCTAACTCTTTGCAAGAAATGTAAAGCAGAAAGACAAATATTGATGTTCATGCATATATATATATATATATATATATATATATATATATATATATATATATATATATATATATATATATATATATATAGGGTAAGGTCACTAAAGCTTTTATTTTAGGTCCTCAAGAGTCAAAGGCTCCCCAAAACTTTTTCTATTAGTTATACTTATTTATATTAGTAAAGTTTTTTTAAGTTAACAAAACGTTAACATTTTGTTTCAATACACTACACTGGTTCTAGTTATCAAATATTTTATTAGTAGATATGAATATTTAAATAATTTAACTCAAAAGTTTAAAATATTGGACAATGTTATACTGTGAAATACTTAAAAGAGAACTTAAACCCTGAATGAAAATTTGTTAAGACCATACAATTTTTTCTTGGTTATTTAAATTAATCGTGTGTATTTATCCAACTGTTGTCACATTACTAATGCTATTTCCTTACATCTCTTAGGTTTTGGCTTTAGGCTTCTAATTTCATAAAGCCGACCCTCTATATATAGTTCACGTCAGAAAGATGCATCTTTCCTTTATTCAATGTCCACTCTCCTATATGCCCGTTTGAGAACCGAGAAATGTTCAAATTTATTCATTCAAGATTATATTTTAGTGTTCTGATGCTATTATATACCCCGTGTGATGTGATTGTAAGATAGTTTGTTATTGGCAAGTTGGAAGTGGGATTCTTCCCACATCGGAAGAAAGAAGTTTCGTGCCTGTTATGTGAAACACCTTCGAGATCGACCTTACTCGTATTGTGCCTGTTAGCCTCGAAACTGATCATTTTGAAATAGCACTCAACAGGTACGAGACTAACTCAACAGGCACGAGACTGACTCAACAGGCACTAGACTGACTCAACTGGCACGAGATCCTAGAGTTAATTATTTTTAACAGAAAAATCAAATTTATTTGAATTTTAAATTCAAAATTCGAATAATAGTCGGGTTTGTTTGTGAAACAAGACATCTTTCCTGAAACTGACTCAACAGGCACGAGACTGACTCAACAGGCACGAGATTGACTCAACAGGCACGAGATCCTAGAGTTAATTATTTTTAACAGAAAAATCAAATTTATTTAAATTTTAAATTCAAAATTCGAATAAATAGTCGGGTCTGTTTGTGAAACAAGACATCTTTCCTGAAAGGGTCTGTTGGTTGCCTATAAATACACAGGAATTCCAACGAAGTGGAAATAGAAAATCACAAGTGTTATTGCAGGCTTCGTTGTATCCTGAAGAGAATCGTTTTGTATTTTCCCTAAATTAGTATACAGGCGATAACTCTTT